TCCTATGAGAATTGAAAGGCAAATTAGAGGCGAAGCAGTGAGGGAAGGAGGAGAAGCCGTGAGGGAAGGAGGCGAAGCCGTGAGTGCAGGAGACGAAGTCGGAAGGAGACGACGCAGGAAATGAAGCCAAAAGCAACAACGGTTTCGAAAGCAGGAAAAGAAGCCGAAGTTGTGAGTGCATGAAACATTCAGGCCTCGGTTTGGTCGGAAGAGCAGGTGAGCGGTGTTGTGGGCCTTGACTTTGACGTGCAGTAACGAAAGCTTGAATAACTTCTGATTCGGCTTTCTTTCATTCGTCCGCTCAGTACATTCTCGGTATCGAGCAGGTACATGTTTGGTACCGCTCAATAGTACCGCTAGGTACATGCTCGGTACCGAGCCAGTACCGCTCGGTACAAAGAGGTACATGCTCGGTACCACTAGGTACACACTCGGTACCAAGCCAGTACCGCTCAGTACCGAGTACATGCTCGGTACCGCTCAGTATTGAGCATATACAACAAGCAGAATTTCAAAATTACTCTTATAATAAAATTTTGTTCCGGGGGCGCTGCCCCGGAAACCCCTGCAGGTGAGCTGCCCCTTGACCTGACCGCCAGGGGGCAGCGCCCCCTTGGACCCCCGGCAGACCGGTATATTATTGTATTCATGTTGTCTTATTATTGGTAGTATAAATAATTATTAAAATCTGTCCTATTTGATATTGATTATTTATTTCTATAAATTATTAGCATGACTAGTGGCACAAGAAGGAAAGAACCTGCATGGAAATATGGAACTCAAGGTGAAGTGTCAGGCGAAGGTGCAAAGAAGGGATATGTTTATATGAAATGTAATTTCTATGAGAAACGCATAACTGGTGGCATCAAGAGGTTAAAGGATCATCTAGCTTGCACTCATGTCAATGTGAGATCATGTGCAAAAGTACCTTATGAGGTGAAAAAGAAATATACATATTATTTAAAGAAGTTTGTCATCACAAAGGAGGTCACACAAAAAAATATAGAAGAGATGATAGGAAACTCTTCTTACTATGGATCACAACATCAAGGTTCCAGTAGTGGAAGCCATTTAGTTTCTTCTAACCTAGTCACTCGGGGTCCTCTGGATAGATTTATGATAAATATTGATGACGAGGATAACATAAACACTCAGGATCTTCAGCCTCCTATAGCTACAAAAGAACTCATGAACAGAATTTGTTTGGATATCGCCAAATTCATCTGTGAAAATGGGATTCCATTTAATGTTGTTAGGAGTCCATCATGGATCAATATGCTACGATCAGTTGGAAGCTATGGAAGAGGACTACAACTTCCAAGCATGTATGAGCTGAGGACTTGGATGCCGAATGAGGAGGTTAAGACAACTTCAAAAATGGTAGATGATATTAAGAAGACTTAGATTGAGACAGGAGTGATAATAATGTCAGATGGTTGGTCAGATATTAGACACAGAAGTATCATTAATTTTTTGGTCAACAATCCATATGGAACAGTTTTTCTCAAATCAGTAGATGCTTCAAGCTTTGTAAATGATGCACAATTATTGTTTGAAATGTTGGATGAAGTTGTGGAGGAAGTGGGAGATGCCTTAGTAGTACAGGTTGTTACTGATAATACAAGTGCATACAAAGCTACAGGGAGAATGTTAATGGAGAAGAGACCTCATCTTTACTGGATTCCTTGTGCTGCACATTGTATTGACTTGATGCTTGAGAGGTTGAGATAGTTGCCTCAACATAAATCAGCCATATTGAAGGCCAAATATGTTAGTAAGTTTATATACAAATATATTAGTAAGTTTATATACAATCATTCTTGGGTACTCAGCTTGATGAGAAAATTCACTGACAAGAAAATTATTAGACTGTTGTTACAAGATTTGCTACTGCATATTTAACATTGCAGAGATTCAAGGAGTTAAGACAACCTTTAAAAGCAATGTTTGCTTCTGAAGAGTGGGATAAAAGTTCATGTGCCAAAAAACAAGAAGGAAAACAAGTTAAAAAGATTGTTATGAAAAACGATTCATTTTGACGCGGTACAAATTATGTTTGAAGTCAATAGGATCATTAGTAAAGGTGCTTAGAATGGCTGATGGTGAGAGGGCTCCGGCTATGGGATATATTTATGAAGCAATGAATAGCGCTAAAGAAAATATTGCAAAAGAATTGGGATGTCAAGAAAGTGCCTACAAAGAAATATGAGATATTATAGATGAAAAGTGGGATCGATAATTACATCAACACTTACATGCTGCTACGTACTATTTAAACCCCCAATTTTATTATAATAAAGATTTTCATATTGACAAAGAGGTGAAAACTGGTTTGTATGCATATATGGACAGACTCATTTCTGAAAAAGACTACCTCAAAGTGAATAATCAACTTGAGGATTTTCATTTGAAGAAGGGAATGTTTGGATTTAGAGCAGCACAAGCATGATACAAAACATGATCTCCTGGTATGTTTATAGTTTGTGTATTTATAATTTTAATGTTAATATTTATGTTCAAGTCTTCTACTTCAACCAATATTCATAAAATACAATTTGTCTTCATGTATAACATTGGTGGGCTCAATTTGGAGATGATATTCCTGAATTGAAAGCTTTTGCAGTTAAAATTCTTAGCCTAACATGTTCGGCTTTGCATGCAAGCGTAATTGGAGTATCTTAAATCAAATTCATACAAAGAGAAGAAATCGATTGGCGGCAGATCAAATGAACAAACTAGTTTATGTTATGTTTAACAAAAAACTGAAAGATAGGCATCTCAAATTGCAGAATCAAAGAAATTGTGAGAATGAAATTGACCCTTTGCTTATTGATGAGTTATAATCTGATGATTAATAGGTTACTCCTAAGAATGCTGATGTTTCTAAAATTGAAGCAGAAGGAGAAACACATGTCAATGAAGAAGACAAAGAAGCAACTACCCAAGTATATAAAAGAAAGAAATAAAGTGAGATTGGAGCTTCAAAAAAATTCAAAGGTATTATTAAATATAATGAATTATTTTGTATGTTATTATTGTTTCATTTTAGAGCTAATGAAATATTAACTGATATAGGAGATAAAGGAAAAAATATTATAGATGAAGAAGAGTTTGAGGATGACTTTGACATTAATTATGAAGATTCTTCTGAAGACAATCAAAGTGATGATGAGCCTGCTTTGGGTCTTGAACCTAAGGGGATGTTTTATTTTTAAGTGAGTTTATTTTAAATCTTGTATTCCAGTAATATTATCTTAAAACAAATCTTCAAATTCATAGTTGACATAATATTTTATTATTTTTTATCATTATTTATAATTTTAAATTAATTTATTTTAATCGTTTTGAGGCTTACGCCTCGATCCGCCTCGAGGCTTATGCCTCGCCTCGATTCCTGATTTCTTCTTTTAAAACCTTGCATGAGAATATTGAATTTACTATTCATCCATCCGAACTTTAGCCTCCATTGACTTACTCCCTAATAAGTGGTGTCAAGGCCAATAGTTCAATTCGGTAAAAGCAACTTGCAACTCATATCTATCATGAAAGAATCTATGATTGAGAGGGCTCTTGGTACATAATCTTTGATGATGTTCAAAAATATTTGTTTGAGGGTGAGTGATGGTCGATATGAAGAGTTCTTACATGATGGCGAGATTCTAAAACCATGTTGAAGTATTGAATTTAGTCCCACATTGGATAGCTACAGAAAATATTTATACCAAAATATTTAGTGATAGGCCCTCACCCAAAACCACAAGTTTCTTCGATTGTAAATGAAATTGACAACTAAAATATTTATCTCAGCTTACTTGCCCTTTGGTTTTCTCCCCAATGGTAACTACTCCTAAAGGTCTTTCTATTTTGCATTAAATGTGAATGGAGAGAATTTCCTTCCATTCAGATTGAATGATAGGAAAGAGTCCTATTCAAAATCCATAAGATGGAACCAAGTTGAACTACATCTAATATTAGTTAGAAATGAAAGTAAGAAAAAATAAAAATAATATAAATAAAAAAATGATTTCAGGGTTATTTGATTAAAAGTATTATAGGAGTAAAGTAGAAGATTTGCATAGGTTTTTATTTTCTGAGTATTAGGTGTGAGGTAAAATGAGAGTTAATTAAAGTTTTGAAATATTTGAAATACAATCAAATCTTTATAGTTCCTAGATTTCAAATATGGGCCAAAAAAGAAACATTTTGCTTTCCTTCTGCCTCATCTTTTGCCTCTGCTTATGTGCTTCCTCCTCTTCTGCCATCAGCAAACCCTTGATTGATTCCATTATAAACTCCATCAACAAAATTAAATAATCTTACCTAATATTTCTTCTTTTCCTCCCCTCCCCCCTCCACTCAATCATCTCCATCCTTATACATCTTTGAGGCTCTCAAGATATCATCCCTTCTTTCATCCATTTCTTATTTCATGCTGCTTGACCTCCAGACCCTCTCTGCTACAACCGCTCTCTCTCAATGGAACCTACCCTTTTCTTCCTAAAGTAAATCATTCACTTCAAGCCTACTTGAAACCATATCTTTGTGAGTGCTAAATAAATTTTAAAATATTTGAAATACCATAAAATCCTCATTTTTCCTGCATTTTGTTTTCCTTCCAACTCCAACTCTCATGCTTGCTTCTATGCTTTCTCCTCTTCTTCCATCAGCAAACCCTCAATAGATTCCATCATCAAAACTGAATGGTCTTACCTCAAATTCCTTCTATAAAAACTAGCCAGTTTATCCACAAATAAATACATGCAGACAAAAGTTTATAACCATGAAGAACAATAAACTAATAATGTCAACCCATGTGCAAAAACTAAATTTTACTAATATCTTGCAGCAATGAAAATTTTCTTTTTAAATTTTTAAATGGAAAAAAGGCATTAATGGCTATTTATCGTCAAATTATCAAATAGAATAACAGAAAACATCCAGGAAATGCAACTCCTATTGTATATATTCAAGTGCTAAACAGGTAGACCAAAAAAATGTACCTTTCCCCTGAAGGTACTTCTCCATGGTAATTTACTGTATATATCTGATTTTCAGTCAGGAAATGATCCACAGCACGGCTTGAACTTTGTGTATTGCAGAATACCATTACTCGGTTTCCCCTAGCCAAACTCGGTTCAAGAACCTGCAATTAAATGTTTCCTTAAGCTCAAGATATTCACGTCAGCTACTATTATGGCCCAATTATTGAAACTCTCCCATGTATTGAAGTTAATGATGGCTGTTGCATAAAGGTCATCAAATAAAAAAGGTACAAGGTACGAACAGGCATCGAGAACCCATTTTGAAGTAAATGTCAAACACAATTTCCAATCCTAAGTTTTATCAGATATTTTTCGGGATCCTAATAGCTATTTAGGATTTATCTATGCTATATAGTAAATTATTCAATTAGATTTGTGGAGAATAATCTAGCAATAAAACAAAAGGAGAAGGTTCTCAATAAGACATAAACAAGGGTCATCCATGCATAACTAATCTGTTTGATTCAGTTAAAAATACTTTTATTTAACTAACACTTATTAATTAGTTTAATATGGAGATAAAACATGCAATTTTTTCATGGAAATCTCTGGCATTTAGAACTAATTTCCTTTTAACATAAAAAATTTGACAAAAATTTTCACGTTATTGGTTAAATAATTTATTCAAGCATGTTATGATATTGATTATCCCATCCCATATAATAATAAATTAAACTGAGGTAAGATCATTCTGCAGTTCATTTTTTCATGTCGTAGACAAAATTTCATTTAACCCTTTCAACAGGTATGAGATATATAAAAGAGATGACTTATTAAAGCTTCAACTATTGGTTTATAAGATATTATGAGGTGGAGGCCATTCTGCAATTCAGTCCATTTTTATTTAATTATCAAGTTCATTGCACTGTTTTGATAGATACGAAATATATGAAGGGGGCAAATAGTAAACTTTAACAAGGTACTTGGCTCCAAAAATTAACCTGTAGAAGAGACTCCAACTTGTTCTCAGTGCCAGAAAGTTTGATGAAGTCATGCCGAGCAGATGCAACCTTCTTGTGCAAGGTGGATGTTCGCAAATGGACAATTCCTTCAAATTCTTCCTCAATCAATTTTTGCACTGCCTAAAATACATTAACAAATCAATAACCAAACTTCAGAAGAGGATAAAACACAAAGCAACGGAAGAATACCATAATAAAGGTAACTCCAAAGAAAAAAAAAAGTCCACAAAATAAAAGAATGTCTAGCAAGATCATGGATGTCAAAGTGCAAAAGATGGCCAATTCAAAGGGTTCTGAATTTTATGCTGAACTGGATCATCAAGATCGAGATGCATAAGGCAAAAATATCAATATTAAATAAGAGAAACTCACTACACAATGAAACCGGATGAATTCTACCATCTTCAGTCCAAAGTTTCATTAAACCTTCAATACATATTTTATGGATTTCTAAATAAGCCACGCAATCTAAAACTACCTAATACCAGCACATTGAAGTACATGTATAAAACTATAATCTAACGAATATTATTTAAACACATTGATAAAGAGCATGTGACAAAATAGCGTACAAGTAAATTTTGTAGAAGTGGAAAAGAGCCATATCAAGGTTGTTATTGGTAGTGACCAGACCTTCGTCATTGTTGCAGTGACCAGTACAGTTTGAAATCCTTGATCGCCAGGTTTACCTGCACGTTTCTTTAGTGGACCGAGGAACTTCCGAATGTCAGGGCCAAAGCCTTTATCAAACATGGTATCTGCTTCATCAAGGACCTAAGAGGTTTCAAATTAGTTTATAATCAAGATAAATTATACTTATTAACAGCTCAAGTCATTTATAGTAGTTTAAGGATATAAAGTTTAATCCATTGGCACCTAAAAAGAACTTACTAAGTACTTAATATCCCCATAAACTATGTTACCATCCTCAATATGTTGAAGGATCCTTCCAGGTGTCCCAACAACCACGTCAAGTGGTACATTTAATGAATCTTCTTGAGGCTTTGAACGCCCGCCTCCACTAATCATGGTTGACCTGAACCTTGCATGGTGACTTATAGACTTTGCAACACGAAAAACCTAGACAGTTACCGCACATTAATAATAATATTTCCTTGCAAGATACACCAAAATAGTTGCACATCTTGGAAATTAAGTGAGTATAAACCAACCACCTGTTCAGTTAACTCCCTTGTTGGACAGAGTACAACAGCTCTAGGGCGCCTTGGTTTCATTAGAATACCAGACAAATCTTCGTCATGTCTAAGTAGCTGACAAAGAACACCACATAAGTGCTTTACGATAACAGCATATAATTAGTCAAATAAGTTATCTAGCATGTTATTGAACCTATTTTGTCACATCATGCATCCTGTTATTTCTTCCATAAGTTAATAAACTGAATATGACGCTTATTCTATCATGTTATAATGGTAATCAGCACTCCAATCTCTTGTTCCCACAAGGTTTGCATTCGGAAAAAAACACGCCTTGCATGAGTGAAATGCCCGACTGTCGCATCAAAAAACATTAAAATCCTAATCTCACAAACGTATAACCTACAGCCGGTTACAATAATGCAGTCAACGGTAAGACAACAACATATAATTGAGACAGAAAACTCTACTTTTTCTTATAAAACTGTACCCTTCTTATAACAACCCTAGAATAAAATAAGCGAAGTTTCATGGGACGCTTAGCTATAGAATTTAAGGCTGATTTATGCTGAATTTAACGTAAATCCAGAAAATTGATTTTTTTAGGCTTCCTTGAATAATAAATTTCATAAATGTAGGAATTAGTTTGATTTACTAAACAAGCATTTAGTAATATTAGAGTGATTTGAACTTCTAGGATTTATTAGATCTACGGCTCATTTGGTTACTTGTAACAAAAAAATATGCTTTAAAAAATTATGACTTCAGTTTCACTTATTTCGGATGTGAAAATAAAATTATCACTTTTGAAGGAAAGTGTTTGTAGAAGTTAAAGCTCATATTGATTTCTAATTATATCAAGAATCTCGTAAATTCAGACTTTTTTCAAAATATGTTTTCTACCTACAAATAGTCAAAATAGCCCTTTTTTCATCCGCATAATTTTACTTTTAAGAATTCAACACCACTATTGATTTGAATAAGAAAATCAGGACATAGCACTCCCAAGATTTATAAAACGAAAAATCACAAAATTTATAAAATACTTCTTGAGACCAAACAGATCCTTGATTAAGAAAAAAGGGAGAACCTGAACCAAAGGAAGCAAATAAGCCAGCGTCTTCCCCGACCCGGTATGTGAAGCTAAAACCACATTCTTCCCCTGGAGAACTGCCGGCACTCCAATCGCTTGTATCTCCGTCGGCACAGAAATGCCAATCTCCCTAACAGCGCCCAACACCTCATCTTTCAAACCAAGATTCTCAAAATTCGAATCCATAACGCTTCCCTTCACCTCCTTATTCTTCCTCCCCACATCCAAAGGCCTGACAGAAACAGACACCGGCTTCGTCTGATTCTGCAAACTGCCTTTCGAACTTTCCTTAAGGTGTCGGACACGAAGGCGCTCGAGGAGCAGAGAGTGGTGGAGAGAAGGGATGGCTTCGTCCGTTGCCGGTGTGATAGAAACAGTAGACATACATACGGTTGGGCTAAACCCTAGGAAAGCACTAGAATGCGATGGAGGGCGGCGGATAGTTGATCGGGAGAGAGAAAAGAGAGAGGAAGAAGAAGAGGAAGAGGAAGATGAATAGAGAGAGAGGATAACTTTTCCGGTGGCGTTGCCGCCGGCTATAGCCGCCATTTATAACGTCGGAAAGACGGCTAGTGGTATTGCAGAGTGGCGCAGGGAAGTGATGGCGGGAGCGAGGGTAGAAGATGTGCAAAACCCAACCTAAGCCCGATTTACTCCATTATAAAATATTTTTAGAGTGCATTTTTTGCTGAAAATGATTTAACTAGTTTTTTTTTTTTTTTTTTTTTTTTGATAAAGCAATAATTGCATTAAAAAAACAATCCAAGAAAACTAACTACAAACTATCACCTATTGATTCCTCCTTCAATAATTCAATAAATGAAAAAGGAACCTTATTAAGAACTAAATCATCCCAACAAAAAGAATCAAAAATGATATAGTTAGTACATAAGTCCACTAACTTATTACCACTCCTATCTATACAATTAAAGATTACATAACTAAAATCTTTAATAAAAGAAAACTCTTCAATCTCATTCCCATCTTTTTTGTAAGAATTTTGGATGAACTTGATAACATTTGCATTATCTCCTTCTATCATGATGCATTTATATTCCATCATCCAATCTTTTATCATCTCTTTAATAGTCTTCATAGCAAGAAGCTCTAAATAAGCACTATCACAATGTTCACCTGTTTTACCAAAAGCAAAAAGGAACCTCCCTTTGTAATCTCTGAATACACCACAAATTCCTCCTTTATAGGAAGATAACAATGCCGCATCAACATTCACTTTGATCCAATCGGATGGAGGATGATGCCAAGCTTTGTCCAACAGCAAGTGCTGATTGGCATTCAACCTTCCCGAAGTGCTCCATTCGAAAGCTTTGTTAACAGCTGCATAATTGACCGATTCGAAAGCTATATAAATAGCAGATCATTCAATTTTTCCATGGATTAACTCATTCCTCCCTTTCCATGTAAAGTAAACAATGTTGGAGAAGATGTTTAAAATAAAAGGATTTATTCTCCTCATCCAACTCCATCGACCTTCAAAATAGGTATCCATTGGTATCATAAACCCCCATTGATTTAGATGCAGAATAACCTCATTCAATCTCTTACAGCTCACGGTCAAATGCTTTATATCTTCTACTTCATTGCATCCCCTTGGACACCAGCTATTTGGTTGCAATCTTCTATATGATAAGAAACTGAAAGTTGGTAGAGCATTATTTAGTAGCCTCCACCAGAATGTCTTCACCCTTGCATTCAACTTAGCTTTCTTCAAACACCTCTAGAATTTGTAATCTTCAAAATTCTGTTTTGCCGCCGAACAAGCCATTGCTGAAATTGACTTTCCCGAACCTCCTTGAATGAGCTCCAGCTCATCTTCCTGCTGATTTGCAAAAATTTGAACTTTGCAAATCCTCTCTATTAGCTCATCTCCAAAATATTTCTTCATCTTAGCAACATTCCATCTTCTTTCCACCATAAAATTGTTTACAGTTTCCATATTACAATCTATCTTCCCCACAAATGTTGGCCACGTGTTAAGGCTCTTGTTCATGATCCATATATTATTAAAGATACCAATTGACTCCCCATTTGCTATCATCCATCTAACTATCTTTTTAAGACAACTACCTCCATCATTGGCTAATTTCCAAGCCGACGAACAAGATTTCCTTCCAGCATTTTGATCCCAAATTTTGCCATATTTCGGATATAGACATTTATGCAACATAGAGTCTTTATCTTGAACATATTTCCATGCAAGCTTTGCTCTTAAAGATCCCATTTTGGTAGAACATGAGTGCAACCCACGGCCACCATTCTCCAAAGGTTTTCACATATTATTCCTGTTGCAAATTCGGTTTCATGGATGATGTTTTGATGATTAGCAAACACTCTTGCTTCATTTCGACTGCCTTTTACTACTGACATTTTCATGATTCAAAGATCGGACGAAAATTGGAACCAGCTCAATACTGGGAAGATTAGGGTTGAGTCAGTCTGTAATTTTCTTTTTTCCCTTTCTTGAGTTAATTGTAAATGTTTGAAGTGACTGATGTTAAGTAACCCTATACACACACACTTGAGAGATTTAGAATTTATGTTTTTACTCACATCGTCCCGGACGATATTTATATCGGCCTGGATGATCGAGTTCAAAATAGAAATTCTAATCAGGATTTTTTAGTTAAAGCAGCCGTAATTAACTGATCGTCCTGGACGATAAATTTATCGGCCAGGACGATATGCTCAAAATAGAAATAAATAGCCGCCATGATCAATTTAGGTATTCTGTATTTTTGTAAATCGTCCCAGACGATCGAGAGATCGGCCTGGACGATATTACACAAATTATGCCTAAAATGATCCAGGAATCAAGGAAGCAATTAAGGATGATTGATACGATCACATCGTCCTGGATGATCTCACGATCGGCCTGGACGATCTATTAAAAAACCCTTAGTTGCTCCTAGATGATAAATATCGATCAGCAACAATTCAGGGAGATGTTCTGGACGATCAGGATCAGACAACTCGAATTCAGGGCGATGCTTTGGATGATTTTCCTCTGATTTGAACTGATTGTCCGGGATAATCGTGAGATCGGCCAGGACGATCAAGCCAACTTTGAATCATCTAGTTCATTTTCAGAGCGGTGTTCTGACCGATCATCTTTATTTTGAACTGATTGTACAGTACGATATTATTATCGTCCTGGACGATAAAGTCGGCAACTTGTAATTATTGAGCACCTTTGAAGCTCTTCTATTTAAGAGCTATTGTTCAACATTTTTTAATATCCTTGGTTGTTGTCTTTACTTCAGAAAACCTAAAGGAGAGAGATAGAGAGGATCTTGTGAGGGGGAGCTTGTGAGGGAGTTCACAAGGGTTGCTCCAAGCATTGTTCCACTTCTTCTTCCCTAGAGTCTCTTATACTTGAAAGGGTTGGGAGAGGTAAGCTTCAGCGATCAATCGAGGTTCTCTCCTGCTTCAGGAGAAAGCAAAATGAGTGGGGTTCTCTGCCTTGCTAGGGGTGGCAAAAAGTAGGTGTTTTTTAAGGGCTTCTCCGCCTAGCTGTGGGGGCTAAAGGAGAGTCACGTTGGTAGTGCAATACTCGGAGGGCGCCTCCGGGGAGTGGACGTAGGTCTAGTTGACCGAACCACTATAAACCCTTATTTTCTTTTTTCTGCTTTCGCACTTTAATTTTCCGCACTTATTTTTTTGTGGTGACATTGGTTTGTGATATTCGTTCTTTTATTTAAAGAATTTTTTAAAATACCAATTCACCCGCCCCCCCTCTTAGCTAGCCTCGAGACTAGTTCATAGGGCCTAACATCCCTAACAAACTTTCAATTCCAACTCATATAATGAAGTCCTAGACCTCCATTCATCTTCCTCCAAATAAAATTTCTACACAGCTTATCAATCTCATTCAAAGTACTAATTGGAATCAAAGAATGAGTAGAATGGAAAGATGGGAATGAGAGCAATACCGTCTAGACAAGTGTGATCTTCCTCGCCAATGAGATGAACTTGGTACCCCAAGTATTTAACATTTTTAGCACTTTGTTAATAACAAACTGGAAATCCATCTTCCTTAGTCTTCTCAAAGCTACCTTAACTCCAAGATAGAAAAATTCTTTGATTGATTTGAATCCCATGATGTGTGAAATAGCCTTCCTTTCCCTTCTTCTCATCATTTTACCAAATAAAATAACAGACTTGCTTTCATTAATTTTTTGTCCAGTCCTTCCGCAAAATTCTTTCAAAATACCTTTGATCTTCTTGACACTTTTAACCTTTGCATCTGAGAATTTTACTATGTCATCTGCATAAAGCAAATGGGAGATCTTTGGGCCATTTGTACTGATTTTTATGCCAATTTAGTCCTCTTCCAAGAGAGCATTAGACAAGAATTGAGCGCAAATAATGAATAGGAACGATGATAATGGACATACCTACCAAAATCCACACTTGGCCTTTATTCCATCAGTTTGATTCCCGTTAATCATCAATGAAAAAGATGGATTTATAACATAATCCATGATTAGTTTAAAGAAAAAAACAGGAAATCCAAAGCACTCCAAAGATTTGTTTAGAGCTGACTAACCCTTGGTGTCATATGCTTTCTCCATATCGATTTTGAATGAAACAAACCTAATTGAAGATTTAGAAGTTCTGAATTTATGATAAATTTCTTGAGCTATAAGAATGTTATCTAAAATTGATCTACCTTTTAGGAAGGCCACTTGCTCATTAGAGATTACTTTTGGGATCATGCAAGACATTCTATTCAACAAAACTTTGGCTGCTATCTTGTAAATTGTTTTGCACAAACTTATAGGTTTATAATTGGATGGAGTTGAAGGATTACTTACTTTAGGGATCAGCACAATGATTGTTTCTTTCCAACTCTCACACATATTGTCTGATGTGAAAAAATGGTTCAAAGCATTCCAAATATCCTCTTTCATAATAGACCAATAGCTTTTGAAAAATTAGTATGATATGCCATCATTCCCCAGAGAAATGAATCCCACAGATTCTTTTATCACTTTTTCCACTTCTTCAACAGAAAAGCTTTTGTTCAAGCATGTTATGTCCTCCTCATCCAGCATTCTTCTCGGTTTTGGCCACCCGTCCACGGAGCAGGTTTTTTCTCCCCATTTTCCATTAAAGAATCTTAGTAAAACGTTCTCAATCTAATGCTGATCCTCCACAATACCTCCATGTTCATCTTTTATGCTATAGATAAAATATGAGTTCCTTCTAGCACTAGCAAATGATTGAAAAAATATGGAATTACTATCACCTTCAGCCGTCCATTTCACTTTTGAGCGCTGCCTCCACCAAGTGTTGAGGCGTAATAATGTTGAATTAGGCTCACTGATTTTGGTCTTTAAACACCAAATGTCTTCAACTGATAGAAGTCCATCTTCTACTTCTTTTAATTGCAATTGTAAAATTTCTTGCTTTAACCTTTCTTTTTGTTGATTCAAGTCCTTCAACTTTGCTCTACTCCAAAAGAATAGAGACTTCAAATCCCTCTTCATTTTCTGATTGAGTACTTGAGCTGAGCTCCCTCTAGTTTTCATGTCCCAAGCCTTCCTCACCACAGCTGCCGAAGCTGGATATGAAGACCAAATTTCTTCAAATTTAATAGTTCTTTTAGTTGAATTTTGAATTCCAAAA